GGGGTGATGAGTGTGGGGGGAGTGGTTCTTGAGAGGTTTATGGGGGCTAGGGGTCCCGGGAGTTATGGTAGGGTGCTCTGGGGATTATGGGCTTACTGCAGCAACGAGGAGTTATTAGGTTATGGGCTTGGGAGAGGAGGCTTATGGGGCTGGACTGCTGGACATGGGGGCATATGGTGGATGTGGGGCTGAGGGTCACCCTGGGACATGGTAGGGAGTCTTTGAGCCAGGTGGAGTGTGGCTAGTATCAGGGGACTGAACGTTAACTGATGTGTGGGGAGTAGGGGTCTAGGATATGAGTTGAGGCTAGGGGTGTGTACCCGAGAGTGGGATGAGTCATAGGAGGCAGATCCTGAGAATGGTGATGGGAGTGAGGCTTGAGTTGGAGTGCTGCGGTGGGCTCAGGCAGCTGAGGGGTTGGGTTGGGTGCGAGTGGCAGCCCAGTATGGAGGTTATTGATTAGGGCAGAGTTTGTGGAGTGGGCCTGGCTTGGGGGCTGGGCTGCACCAAGACACTCCATGGACTAACCAATTGAATCAGCTGGTGAATGGGCCATTAACTTTAATGGGAAGCAATCAAAAAATATGTAAGTGGACAGGTCTGCCAGGTGTGGGATTATTACTTGGCTTTTCTTGGGGTGCATGGCACATCCCTCTGCCCACTGGGGGGCACCCTTGTCCTGCCCCGGTCACAGACTGAGCCCTGCTTTCAAGCAGCCCAAATGCATCTGCTCTTGTAGCCTGTCCATGTCCAGTTCTCGCTAGCATGCCACTTGACGTAGCAGGTGGCTTGGTTGCTTACTTTCAGGGTTTCAAACCTGTTTTCTGATGGACAAAGTAGACATTGTTCTCCTATTGGGCGGTCTGGGCCCTGATTGTCAGGGGGTGGAGGAGTGAGGTGGGGCCTGGGCAGACAGGCCTCTAGCTGTGCTTTGCTCCCCATGGTGTCTAATTCAGCAGGCTGGTGGAGTGGGAAGCAATGGGTCTTGCTAGGATGGAACCATGGGAGCTGCTGTGCCAGCATGGGCTAGTGGCTAGAAGATAGTGGAGGAGGAGGAGGAGGTGGTCAGGGCTCTTGGGATCTATTCCTGGCTCATTGGGTGATCTTTAGCACCTTCCCCTCCCCCATGCCTTGATTTCTCCCTCCTATCCTCTGTTCGTATAATGTTTCCCAGGGCACATCTGCTGTAACCAATGCTGTGGGGCCATAATCTCAGCTGAGATCTCAAAGTGCTGGCACAATACCTGTTGGGGTGTGTGGCCCAGCACCTTGCACTCCAGGATGCCTCACAACCCTCCGCTATCCCCTGCTCCCTGTGTGTCCTCTCCTGTTACACCTCTGTCTGGGATTTCCTGTAACTCTCTCCATAAGTATTTCCATTCTCCACACCATACCAAGGGCTTAGGTTCCCATCTTTCTCCCCAGTGTAGGGGTCTTTGTCTTTTCTTCCCCTCCACATTGGAGCTAGGGATGTAAAATTAACCAGACCTTGTCCAAACCCCGTTGGATGACCAGGTGTGCCAGGCCAAAGCAGCCCCAGCTGCCTTAGGCCAGCTGGCATATCCTCAACTACTCAAACATGTTGGGGCAACAGAAGAGCTGGGAAAGTGTTACTGGTTCTAATTACCCCTAACCTGTTAACAGATAGTGCAGTTCCCACAGGGGGTTGCTCCAGCCCCACAGGGCGCTTGCTTTGGGTTGGGGCTGTTCTGTCTGCAGTTGGCTTGGATACCCCACAGGAAGGGCTGATTAACCAATTAAAGGGGATTTTACATCCCTAGGCCCAGCTGTGCAACAGGCAGACATGACTTTGGCAACCTTCATGTTGGGCCAGCTGGTGGATCCCGGCCATGGCTGCATTGGGTAGGCAGGTAGGACCAGGGCCATGGAAGGCAGGCTCTGGCCACAGCAGGTAGGCGGGGCCATGACAGAAGTGGCCTTAGTCCTATCCATGGGGGGCAGGCTGGCCTGGAGCAGCCCCCGCCATCCCTGGTAGGTGGGACTTCAGTCCCAGCTGCCCTGCAAACAGTTAACCGGTTTGTAACCGTGATCCCTGTGGGAGCCAGCTGAGGTCACTCAGTTTGCATGAACTACAAATCGAATGGGGCAGTGCTAGATATTTTAATATTGAAATTTCCAGAGTCAGCGCAAAACAGCTTCTGTTCTATGTCACTGGTTACTTGGATGTCCAAACAACTCAATTCCCTTAAAGTATCCAGGTCAAATAGGATGACAATTACTGAAAATCTCAGTTCATCATAAACAAGAAAATATTCTGATCTCAAAGGACTAGCTGCACCCTCAAATCAATATTTAACTTAGATCTTACCCAAAATACATGCTTAGAGCCAAATCTTATTAACTTAAAACTTTATTTAAAGAAAAGAGAGAATTGGTTAGGGATGTGATAGTGTATATGTGTACGATGTTAACCAATGAGCCTGGGCTCATCCGGTAATGTTCATGGTTACATGGGCTTCCTCCTCCCACCCTGCATTGCTGCGTCTGTGTCAGAGGCAGCAGAGGAGCCAGTGTGCACAGAGAGCTGGCAGTTCTGTGAGGAAAGCTGCCTATCAGCGTTTATTATGCAGAGGAGATTTTTTTTTACTGTAAGTGGAAAAAGTGAGCAGGATCCAAACGTTTTGAGATGTCTTGTTTCTGTTAACTAGACTTGGACAGGTTAGGTTTTTATGGGTGAAGGTCAATTTCACTGCATGTGCGAACTGGTGATAAATACTTCCATGTGTAATAATCAAAATGGACAGGCAAAGTAAGAAAAATGCTGCTTGCAAACAGTTTAATTTAAGGGGGTCTTCACTTTGTGTATTTTGACATGAGATATAGACATATGGCTGTTTGTGGGTTAATGATTACATAGCTTTCACTTTTTCAGTCTGTCAACTCTAGTCATTAACTCATGGTCTGATGCCTGCCAATTTCCCACAACTGAAAATTGAAAATGGAAAGGAAAATAGATGTTTTACAGTAGAGCTATAAAGATATTAAGGGTTAACTGGTTACCCAGTAAGCATCACCCTTGCAGGGTAAGCAGTTAACAGGTGGTCGCGCTTGGCCCCAGGAACCCCCAGCGCAGCCAGTTAACTAATTAATTTTAACATTAAACTGGCAAACTTTTAAAACTGGATTTTATTAAGGATGTTAAGTATCGTGTAATAGACTAATCAAATAGTCGATGCATTTTTGCATCGACTATTCAATTAGTTGATAGGGCAGTGCTGCCCCCTTTGAAACACCGCAGCAGCGTTTTAAAGGGGCAGCACTGCACGGAGCCCGGGGTCAGCTGGGGAATCCAGCTGATCCTGCGCTCCTGCGGTGCTGCCCCTTTGAAATGCCACCACAGCGTTTCAAAGGGGCAGTGCACGCAATTAATTGTGATTAAATTTTGTAATAGTGCAATTAATCAAAATTTTTAATCACTTGGCAGCCCTATTTATTATTAATTATGCTTTTTATATTTGTGCCTAAAGTGCTAGGGAATGATTGTGCTAGGCACTGTACAAATAGTGTAGTTGGTCATCCATGATGGAAGAGCTTACTGAACACAGAAATAAGATAGACACAGGGTGTGGGGGAAATGATACAACACACAACATTTAGTGAAAGCTTTCCTCCTACAACCGTGCATCTGCTCTCCTTTTCAATTTCCTATACTGCCTTTCAGTTTCCTCTTGATTCTATGTAGGTATTGTACTTCTTAATTTGACAAGGCAAAGACCACTCATCTGGTGGGTTGTTGGCTGTGTTAATATTGCATGTTAGCATCAAGGCCATTCCTCTTGCATTCCCAGTTTTCCATTTCTCATATTTTTTGACAATCCCACATTTTGTAAGCCTGCTCTTGCCCCCTCTCTCATGGCCAGACACCTACCTCCAGCTTGCTCCTGTACCCTATTTTCCACCCAGATTCTGCACCCCCATCCTTATCCTACTCACTGGCAGCCCTGTCCTGCACACTGGATCCCTCATTTTTTACCCCACCTCAGATTGTAGAAGGGCCCACAAATTCCACTAACCCTGGAACCCAGAAGAGTTAATCTGGCCTGGGGCTAGAGTGCCAGGGGAGTGAGGAGTCTCAGTTGGGGCCACATTAGTGAGGATTGGGGGGTTTTGGGGAGGTGTGTGTTTGCATCTCACTTGTGTGGCCCCCAACTGACTTTTCTGTGGGTCAGTGATCCCTGACTCAAAACAGGTTCCGTGCCCCTTTCATAAATAAAGACAATGCTGAAACATTTTGTTTGACATATTTTATTTAAAATGAAGCCTGGCCAACAAGCCCCCAGTTGGGATCAAGCCCCCATCTGGCCGCAGCATCATAACACTCCTACACACACCCCCAACCCCAAACCACCCCAAACCTGAGCCTATCATACACTGGAACCCCCTGTCCTGAGCCTCTCATCCCCAAACTCCTGCACCCCTACATCCTGTCTTCTACCACGACACTCCTGCACCATCCACGTGCTGCAAATCTGTCCTGAGCCCATCATACTCCCTGCCCTGAGCCCCTCATGCACCCCAGCCCAAACTCCAGCACCCCAAACCCTCCACCTGACCCCACCACTCCCCAGCCTGGAGTCCCCTCCCTGAGCCAGCATCCCCTTGTCCTCCACCTGCACCCAAATTTCTTCCCAGAGCTTGCACCTCTCACCCCTTCCCACACCCATATCCCTCATTCGTATCCCAGAGCCCACACATCCTGTCTCAACCCAGTGTGAGTAAAGGCTGGGGACAGCAAGTGATGGGAGAGAAGGGGAACACAGAGGGTGGGGCCTCAGGGAAGGGGTGGGGTCTTGGGGAAGAGATGGAGTAGATCTTGGCTTGTCCTGACATTTAAAAAGTGATCTTGGGTGTAAAAAGGTTGAAGACCACTGCCCTATCAGATAGAGGCAGCAAGGGGGGGAAGCGACTAGTCCTTAACATCCCTAGTTTTTAAGCATTTTCTCCCCAATTTGCACAGCTGGGATTTAAATATGTAAACACTGGGGAGGAAATGCTTCAAAATAAATATCAATATTATCTTTTGAAATTATAACTTTTGGCAAAATGTAACCATTTGCACAGAAATTGTCCAGCCTGGGTCCAGCTCAGGCTGACTTTTAGGAGCAAACTTCAGCCAAAATGGTCCAGCTGTTTCTGAGAATAGGAAAAGTTATAGCATTTTCCCCATTCTTTTTATGAGCTGCTCTAGCGCCGCCCAGCTTTGGAACAGAGACTTTAAATTTGTTGGTGACACAACTGTGATGTTAGGGACATGGCTTTTGCTGTTCTTGGGAAAACCGAGTTTTAATTGCTTTATTGTATACTAGTTATTCCACAGAACCCCTGGCTCAGTAGGTGCACAAGATGGGCCGGCTGTGAGCATGAATTGGAGTGGTGCAGGGAAGGTGACTGATATCCCTGCCTCTTGTGTGACAGAGCTTGGAAGGGGGTGTGGTCAACGAGGCAGGAAGGATGGTCTCATGGTGAAGGCAGTTGATTGATGCTCTTCTAAAGAGCTGGATTCTGGCCTTAGCCTCTGTCACTGAGTTTCCAGGAGACACTGGCCAAGTCAATTACAACACATTTTTCCTAGGTGGCTGTTAAATAAGTCTTCCTACCTGGTTGTCCAAAATGAGCCCCCAGGGCCTGATTTGCTGCTGGTGTCATGGTAAGCTGTGCTGCATGCACACCAAACAAGGGCAGAGGGAGCCCTTGGCTGGCAAGGCTGGCCCAGTGAGATCAGAGCATGGGAAGTGCTCTGCTCTCAGAGGGCCAAACGCTGGCAGGAGACGGGGCGTCACAACTTTAGCACAGGGTTAGAAGAGGTGACCGGAAACAAGCCAGGTGGCCGCTTATTAGAGGAGGAGACAGGCTCCTTGCACGAGCACCATCCATACAGGGTGCTGACTGAGGCTGGGATCCTATGGCAAATGTAGCATGTGATTGTGCAGCTGTAGATGTTACAGGGGCAGTCAGAACTGCATTTCCTAGGTTCAGCTGGGAGACACTAAATCCTTGACAAGTCTGAAGTCAGAACCAATACACAGTCACTGCCTGCTCTGTTCATTCTTAAAGCTGGCTTGTGCAGGGGGAAGGGGGGTTCATAGGAATGGGTGGGAGGGGCTTTAAATTCAGATCTTCCCTTAGCTCTTTGAGCTGATCCGGCACAGTGCGGCAGTCTAGATGCGGATCTGTCAGCAGAGGAAGCCTTTGCCGACCAATCCCTTATGCCTGCCGACAGATCCACGTCTAGACTGCTGCATTATGCTGGATCAGCTGATCATCGGCACAGCATGGCAGCCATGTTTATTTAAATCCCGCGGGGGATATTTAAATCCCCCGCGGATTTCCCTATTCCCAAGTTCAAAATTACCATGCCCCTTCCGAAGAAGGGGCCAGTGTAGACGTAGCCTGGGAGAACAGGCTGTGTCACTCCAACAGCTGGTAGAAAAGTCGTCTGTGTTAAAGGTCCCCTTCAGAGTTGTTTGATCTCCAGTCTGTATTTCTGGGTCCTCCACAGAAACCTCTTGCAAAGTCCAGGTTGGTGTGGACCTAGGAGAGCTGGACATGCTTATTTGGGGGAAGAAATTGGCTTTCCAGCCTTCATCATAAAGTATTGTTTATCTGCTTGTCCTCCCCAAATCGCTTCTCCAGAAGCAATTGTTTGTGCGTCAGGTCCCCTGGGTGAGCTGGGGCTGCTGATTCAAACAGCAGATCTGTTTCCAGCAGGGTCCCGCAGAGATCAGTTCTTGACCAAGTGTTTAACTGGGGATGTGAAAGGTTAACCGACAAGCATCACCTGTAACGGATAATACTTGCCAGTTCCAGTTAACTGGGGGGAGCTGCTGCGGTTGTGTGGAACAACTGCTGCTTGCGGTGGCAGAGGCAGCGCCAGCCCATCTGGCTGCCCTCCCTTTAATCGGGTAACCAGTTAAACACCATATTTAACTGGTTAACCAAATAAACAGGATTTTGCATCCCTGTATTTAACATGGCCTGGAAGAAAACAGTTAAATGTCCTTAACAGGAGCATGGTAAATAACTCAGTCTGGGTCACAAGGGACTCTGGATCGCTTTGGTGAACCTGAGCGCATGCAAAATACATGCTTTGATAAGGCTAAATGTAGCCATCTGCAAATGCAGGCGAGCTGTACAGGGCCGGGGAGTTCTTCTTGGGAAGCAGAGAGTTGGAGAAATATTGGGGGCTGGGGGGAGAGGAGGGTATAAACTGGACATGAGCAAACATGATCATTAAACGGGGGCATCTTGAGTGGACACAGAGAGGTCATTTTCCTTCTAGATTTGGTCCTGGTGCATCCACAACTGGGATTCTGGGTCCAGGTCTGGTGCCCCCAATCCCAGAAGGATATGGACTAATTTGAGAGGGCTCAGAGAAGAGATGAGAACAATTCAAGGGTTAGAAAACCAGCCTGGAAGTGAGAGACACCAGGAGTTTGATTTAGTAGGAGAAGGCAGAGCTAACGGTTAGACTACTGGGTTGGCCCTGGGCTCCCAGTTCCTGTATGACCCTGGCTCCATCACTGAATCACTTTGATCTCTTCTGTAAAGCAGGGAATCTTGTGCTCTGTGGGATCCCCTGATCCAGGCAGCCTGGAGTGGACACAGTGTGGATGTTGGCTAGTTGTAACATACCTGCTTCTCCCCACAGAATGGCCTATAAGGAGAATGTGACCCCTTGCGCTGGTATCAGCCTGGCAAAGGTAAGCCAAGCGTGCAGGCCCTGGGAGGAGGGATTCTGTCATGCTAGGCATTGTGCGAAAGCCTGTCCCCCCCGTCAGAAATCAGAGACTCCCTTCCCTCATCTGAGATCAAGGCCCCCGGGTACTATATAAACACTCTCCCACTGGCTGACATCAGGGTCTCCTGGCTGAATGCTGTATGGTGTCCTGGGCCCCCTCCTGCCTGAGATCGAGGTTCCCCCATCCAGCTACCATGTGGAACCCTGTATCTTCCTTACTAGATTGGAGTACCACATGGACTCCCTTGCCCAAGATCAGGTGCCCCCCTACACCAGAGCCAAAGTGAAGTCCCTGCTCAGTGCCCACAGTACAGGGTTGGTGGCCAGCCACCACAGGCTGGTGCATCCACCACTGGGATTCTGGGTCCAGGTCTGGTGCCCCCAATCCCAGAAGGATATGGACTAATTTGAGAGGGCTCAGAGAAGAGATGAGAACAATTCAAGGGTTAGAAAACCAGCCTGGAAGTGAGAGACACCAGGAGTTTGATTTAGTAGGAGAAGGCAGAGCTAACAAATCTGTGATTCCGAGTGATCTAATAAACTGGGCACAAGCAAATGGTGTGTGTGACGTGATCCAACAGCTGGGAGTTGGAACTAGACAAATTGACTAGACTGGAAACGGTGTATGTTTTTAATGCTTGAGTGAGGGGCATAGGGGATTCTCCATTGCTAACAATTTCCCAATCAAGATTGGCTAGATTTCTAACATCTGTTCTAGTATTTCTTTTGAGGCTGTTAGCAGAGGAGATGATCCTGCTGCTCCCTTTGGCCTTTGGATCTATGGGGACAGCTGGCTGCCCATGGCATGGCCCTGGGAGCTGCTGGCTGCCATGCCTCTCACCACCAGAGCTGTCCCATCTATAGGATGCTTTAGGAGACCCCGTGGAAGCTGCCTCAACTATCTTATGGGCAGGACCCATGGGGCCCAGGGCAGCCTGGAGGATTACTGGGGGGGGGGGAAGAGCCTGGCATGGGGTAGCAGCAGCAGTCGGGCCCCTTCGCATTCCCTGCGATGGCAGGAGCCATGGGAAACAAACTTGGTGAGTGCACCCTCCTGCAGTTCCAGCCAGTGTGGTGAATGTGGGGGCCTGACCCCTGCTGCTGCCCCATGCATGGCCCCCCAATAATTCCTTAGGTTGTGTGTCTCAGGGAAGTGGTGCAGTGGGGGCAGAGCAGGAGAGGGTAGGGTGGCTCTGGAGCTGGGGCAAGCTTTGAGGGAAGGGGTGAAGTGGAGGTAGAGCAGGGGTGGGACCTGGGGTGGGGGAGTTTGCCCCAGATCTTGTACCTTCCCAGGCACCACAGCTGGTATTCAAAGCTGGGGCAGCTGGGCTGTGTCTCAGACCCAGTCCAGTCTCTGGTGCCCATCTCTGACCTTTGGTTGTTCTCTCTCTCTCTCCCCGTAGCATGGGGTGCTAAGTGGGGTGGGCCCCCAGCGAGTCCCACGGAAAGATCCCTACATGGCCATCGGCACCCCCTCTGAGTTGCTGCTGGCGCAGAGAGCCATGGCCAGCACCAATAAAATCATCCTGAAGCCTCCTAGCATCCAGAAGCCAGGTAAGGAGGGGCAGACTGGGGGGCAAAGAGGCTTCAATCCACGTGGGCTGTAATCCACGTGGGCTGTGTTTTGAACAGATCTGCTCTAGCTCGGCCAGCAGGATGGGGAGGTTCTGGGGTGAGCAACTTAGTTACACAGGAGGGCAGGGCAGATGTTCCTGAGGTCTAGGAGCTCGGGACTGGACAAACATCAAAGGGATTTCTGACACAGCACTTGGAGGCCAGATAAGCCCATTAGATTAGCCAGTCTGACCTCCTTGTTTGCCCAGGCCAGAGAATCTTCCCCTGGATGGAGGCAGGTAGTTAGGTTTGGCTAAAGTGTCTTCCAAACCCACTTCCTGACTGGATCTGAGTCCTCAACACTGGCCCAGCCCCCCACTTCCTGCATAGCTCCTTCCACTGGAAACACTGGGGTCTAATCTCCAATGCAAATGTGTCTGATACCTGCTTCCCACTTGGTTAGACCTGGGATTTTCTTCCCAGGCAAGTCCTTCCATGCCTCCACCTTGACACGCCTCCCCTGCCCTGATGGCCCTGCTATCCAGCGCCTGCTCTGACCCTCAAGTTGATTCTATGTCTCTTCTCTTCCCCCTTCTCCAGCATCCTTTTGACCCCTCCCCTCCCCACCCACACACACACACCTGCAGTGGCAGAGACTGGGGCTGCCCTCTGCCTTTGAGAATCATGTATGCCCTTTACCCCAGCACCACCAGGGCCTCCTGCTGGGGGACTCCAGCTCCATGGCACAGTCCCTGCTTTCTGAGATCTGGCTGGCCTGCCTCCCTGGCTCCTCAAAACCTGTGACCCACACTCCTTGACCCTGTTGTCATTGTTTGTCCCCGGATTCAGTTGAACATGGGTTCAGTGTCCCTCCCATAAGGTTGGGGAGGGGCTTTTAGAACATGGGCGGGCTTTGCCCGCCCACCTTCCCATGATTTCAAATAGGCCCTGGCTCCTCAAAGCTTAACCCGGCAGATGAGGCTGGGAGCTGCAGCCAGCTGTGCCGGGGAAAGTGGTTAACCATGAAAACAGCTTGCCCAGGGTGTTGGTGTATGGGGCTGGGATGGCATCTAGCTCAGCTGGGAACTGCGGGCACCTGTAACATCTAGGCTGCCTGCTGGGACCTGTCTTTGGGAATTGGGGGACCTAAAGCAACAGAGAGTGCTAGCCTGTGACACTCTCTCCCTCTCTGCAGCCATCGCAGGCAGGGTGCTTGCCGAACCCAATTCCGGTGCCCAGAGTGCTCAGCCCACTCCCCAGTGAGTACTTGTGCTGGCCAGGAAGGGGAGGATCTGGGGTGAGCAGGCCTTGGTGGGAGGGCTGCGAGGGATGGGGGAGGATTGGGGGCAACTGCATTCTGGCGACAGGGCTGCCCCAGGAGGGGAGTGGGGATCTGAGAGGACCTCTGGGGTGAGGTGGGAAGGGAATCTGGGGGGAAGGCTGTCCCAGGATGGGGAGGGTTGTCCCAGGGTGGAGATAGGGCCTGGCTGCCCCAAATCCCCTAGGAGAGGAGTGGGGCTGGGAGAGAAAATTTGGAGTGAAGAGAGGGGTGGAGCCACCTGCTGTTCCAGAAGACCCTTAGCATCCCTTGTTCTGTGTCTCCCTGTGGCCACCTCCAGGAGAGTCTTTACCATCAACGACTTTGAGATTGGGCGGCCACTGGGCAAGGGCAAGTTTGGCAATGTGTACCTGGCCCGGGAGCGGGACTCCAAGTTCATCGTGGCACTCAAGGTGCTCTTCAAGTCACAGATGGAGAAGGAGGGCGTGGAGCACCAGCTGCGGCGGGAGATCGAGATCCAGGCCCATCTCCAGTGGGTGGGGATGGGCATGGGTGGGGTAACTCAAAATGCTGGCGCGCACAGGGGGCCCTGGGGAGCTGAGCAGAGCCCTGCCTTCTGCAGCTCATATGGGGCAGGGTGGTCTAGGCTGAAGGCTTGACCCTTGAGAGTGGTTGGTGGGGTAAGCCCAGCCTGGAAGCGAGGGACCCAGGAGATTAAGAGGGGGGGACAGCAGTCCCTCAGGGGAGGAGGGTTCCTAGGCAGAGCTCTGCAGCCATAGACTAGACCAGATAGGGAGGGGCCAGCTGGGGCAACCCCAGCCACCCATGACAGCTCCCGGTGACCCATGTCTCAGGTTGTGTCTATAGGGCTCTCTCCAGCAGAGGGATCTGAGGCATAGAGGCTCCCCTCATGACAAGTGACAGTGTTGCTTCCCCACACACACCATCCCAAGCTGTCCTACCCCTCCATGATCTGACCCTGATCCCAGTCATCCCCCAGCAGCTGACATGCTGCAGGATCCAAAGGGTTCCTGGCTTCTCACAGGGTTGGGGGCTGGCCCCTAGGGGGCACTATGGGGCAGAGGCTCAACAGGGAGCCCTCTTCCCTGGCAGGCCAGTCTGAGTTACGGGGCGCTTTGGGGCAGGGAATGTGGCGGTGATGGGGGCACAGATAGGGGATGCTTTCTGCATACTCAGGCCTGACTGACTGCCCCGCACCTTTGGCCTGCAGACACCCCAACATCCTGCGCCTCTACAACTACTTCCACGACAAGAAGCGGGTCTACCTGATCCTGGAGTACGCGCCCCGCGGCGAGCTGTACAAGGAGCTGCAGAAGTGCCGGCAGTTTGATGAGCAGAAGACAGCCACAGTGAGTGCTGGGTGGAGCAGCACTGGGAGAGAAGGGGCCAGGGGATGACATTTGCAGCTCAGAGCATGTGGACTGCAGCTCCCCCATTAGATATGGGCTTGGCATGCGGTATCTCCACCTTGGCTGTGAGGGTGTCATGATCTAGTGGGTACAGCACTGCCAGAGGGTCAGGACTCTTGGGTTCTCTCCCTGGCAGGAGAATGGTGCCTAGTGGTTAGAGTGGGGAAGGAGCTGTGAGGGTTATGTTTTTGGCTCTGCTCTGACCTAATAGGCACCCTTCTGCAAGACATTTCTGCTCTGTTGCCTCAGTTTTCTCATCTGTACAACAGGGGTGAGGCTATACCTATCTACTGAGGACAAGCACTAGGCGAGAGTAGACCAGTCTTGAGGCCTGTATTGTCCCAGGGAGGCACTAAGAGGTGATGTGGGACAAGGGGAATATTGTTGAAAGTTGCTCTGCCCATGGCAGAAAATATTTTTTTCTCCACTAACATTTATTTTTAAGTTTTGCCCCTGTTTTTTGTGGGGGCAAATAGAAGGGACCTTGGGAACATGTGGAAATAAGTGGGAATTTTCTTCTTTTCAAGGTGTTTCTTCTCCCCTCCAACGTAGTTTGGATTTGAGGGGGCAATAGCAGGGAAAATAGGTGATTTCTGTTCTTCCTCTTCCCCCCCCCTCGTGCTCACAGCCTGTGCTCTGCCCACAGTTCATGGAGGAGCTGGCGGATGCACTCATTTACTGTCATGCCAAGAAGGTGATACATCGGGACATCAAGCCGGAGAACCTGCTCATGGGCCTCAAAGGCGAACTAAAGATCGCTGACTTCGGCTGGTCCGTGCATGCGCCCTCGCTCAGGTGAGAGCTGCCCAGGGGGTTCTGTGGGGATCCCTGCCCATTCCACAGCTTGGCACTCACCTCCTCCCCACCCCTGCAGGCGGAGGACCATGTGTGGCACACTGGATTACTTGCCCCCCGAGATGATTGAGGGCAAGACTCATGATGAGAAGGTGGATCTTTGGTGCATCGGGGTGTTGTGTTATGAACTGCTGGTAGGACACCCACCCTTTGAGAGCTCCACCCACACGGAGACATATCGCCGTATTACCAAGGTTAGGCCGCTACCCCATCTCCTTGCCAGACAAGGAGTCCCAGTGTAACCAGCTGCCCTGCCCCAGAAGTGGTTGCATTTCATCACTGGTTGAGGGAAGGATGTGGCAGAATAACTCATTTAACACCATGGGCTTTGGTTGTGGGGCCCTGCCTTGCCCATGGGCACAAGTCATTAACTATGGGCTGAGGACATTTTAAACCCACCCGGGTGGGAGCAAAGGAAAGTCCTTCTGTAGTTTCTACATCAGAGAGAAAATCCTGGCTTTGTGCGCCCCTCCCCCTGAGCTGTGTATTGGGTCAGCCTCTCTGATTCTGTGTGCCCCCCGGCAGGTGGATCTGCAGTTCCCGCCGTTCATGTCAGAAGGCTCCCGGGACCTGATTACGAAGCTACTGCGTCACAATCCTGCGGAGCGGCTGCCGCTGCGGGCTGTGCTGGAGCACCCCTGGGTGAAGGCCCACTCTCGGCGGGGGTTGCCACCCGTCTTTACTCCCGCCTCTGCCAACTAGCCCTGCCCCACAGCATCTATCACCCTTCTGCAAGGGGGAGCAGTCACAGTGGTCCCCCTCTCGGCTGGTCCCAGCCAAAGGCAGGTGGCTGCCACGCATGTTCAGAACGAAAAGTAAAGGACCATGGCTCCAGAGAGTTTCTCAGTTTTGAGGGATCTGGCTCCAGGGCCCCTCCCCAGTTGTCCCTTTTGCTGACTGCGTTCCTGGCTGTCCAGCCATTTGCGACCCTTGGGATGTCAGGGAGTCCCTGCCTGCCTCTTTTCCTGCCTCTGTGCCACGGGGCCAGGAGCTGCCCTGGAATGGCCTGTTTTAAATGTGTCTGGGGGCGCTGCACCCTCCTTTCTAATAAAAGTTGGAGTTATTTTTCTGTGGAGTCCTTGTCTGTGTTTCAGGTACATGGGGGGGAGGGGGTTCAGCAACCCTTATCCTCAGCCTTTTATCCCCTTCCTTTTATCCCCTTCCTTCTATGTCTGCATGCCTATGTTGCTTTCTATGGCACCCTGCTTCCCTTATCCAACCTACTCTGCAGTCCCCTGCTCCTGTTGCTTGCAGGGGTTGTACTCTACTCGGGCTGGCACTGGGGCATGGACAGGGCTTGGGGATAGCATAGGGCACTGGCCCCAGAGTGGCGCTAGGAGGCACTGTGGGACAGGGCTGGGGGCTCAGCAAGGTGCCTCCCCTTGCATGCAGAGCTGGCCCCAGGGCAGCTGAGTTGATGGGAGTGGGAGACTCTCACACCATTCTGCCCCAGCCCTGAAATGCAGCCATTGCTGGGAAGCAGCCATGCCATGACTCAGGCTGGGCAGTGCCCTCCATAGGGGCACCCAGGACCTCTCCCTGGTGCCCGTTGTTGCCTGATTCCCCATTAATCTAGGCTTGGGGGACAGATGTGGGGCAGAGCTTTGCTTCCACCCCAGTACGGGGAGCCCTTGATCACCCTGTTTCCTGTCAATAGTGGCCTCATCACAGGGTAAGGGGAATCCAACAGGCCTAGTCTGGTCTGTACCTATGGGGCTAATGCAACCCACTTCTGCCCCCCTGTTGGGGAGGGGCAGAAAAGGACTGTCAGGACCCTTTATTTGGCCCCTCTCTTTTTATCTGCCTCTCTTATTGCCACATAAACCTTTCTCCTGTTGTCTGCCCCCAGTATCCCATACCTGCCCCCCCTTCCTCTGACCCTTGGTCTGCCACCTCTGTTCCCTTCCTTTTCATTTGCCTCAGTCCCTTGTTGCCCCAGGGGCACTCCCTCACCTGTCCCCTTTGCCACCCTTCCCCATGCCTGCCCCGTCCCCTCACCTCCTCCCTCGGCTGCCCTGCCCTTGTATCTGCTGTTTTGCCCCGCCCCCTGTCCTGTCCTCTTGCCCCCTCCAGCCCCCCGCAGACCCCGGCCCGCGCCACCGCCGCAGACCCCGACATGTGAGTAGCCCCCGATCCAGGTAGGGAAGCGGCGTGCAATGATCCCCGGGCTGCATCACCCCGGGTGCATGCCAGAGCCGGGCTCCCCACCGCCCCCACAGGGGCTGGGGGCTTCACCGAATCCCGGGGCTCAGCAAAAGCGGGAGCCGCATACTCCCCTGGCTGCCGGGGCACGGGAGATCCAGGCCCTTCCCTCTCCCGTGAGTAGCCCCCGATCCAGGTAGGGAAGCGGCGTGCAATGATCCCCGGGCTGCATCACCCCGGGTGCATGCCAGAGCCGGGCTCCCCACCGCCCCCACAGGGGCTGGGGGCTTCACCGAATCCCGGGGCTCAGCAAAAGCGGGAGCCGCATACTCCCCTGGCTGCCGGGGCACGGGAGATCCAGGCCCTTCCCTCTCCCCGGCCTCCGAAGAGGAAGGAGGCTTCTCCGTCCTTCCAGTGGATGGGCTCAGTGGGGCAGGAGCGTGACAGGTGCAAGGAGATAAATAGCGAACCGTGCTCCCCGGGCTGCATAAAGCAGGGTGCATGCAAAACCCGGCCCCGCTATCCCAACAGGGGAAGAGGACTTCTCCCTTCGGGGGATGGGGGAATCTAGCGTAGGGGTGTGCTCAGTGCAGGCAGATGATGCTTCCCGGGTGGCTTACCCATCCTCCCGTAACCGGCCTCTGCAAAGCAGGGGTTGGAGCGTCCTCTGGGCACGGAGAAAAAATAGGGTGCTGCCCGGGCTGTAGCACCCCGGGCCGCTATCCCAACAGGGGAAGAGGACTTCTCCCTTCGGGGGATGGGGGAATCTAGCGTAGGGGTGTGCTCAGTGCAGGCAGATGATGCTTCCCGGGTGGCTTACCCATCCTCCCGTAACCGGCCTCTGCAAAGCAGGGGTTGGAGCGTCCTCTGGGCACGGAGAAAAAATAGGGTGCTGCCCGGGCTGTAGCACCCCGGGGCTGGGTGCAGGAAGGCAAGAGCATAGGCAGGGTAGGCGATCGATAGCTTGCAATGCACCGGCTACCCCCCCCCCCCCCCCCCGCGCGCACACCCCCCGCT